ATCCCATTGTCAAAAATAAAAAAAAAATAAAAAAATAAATATTTTAGGTCTTGACAAACATGTTTTTTAGTTTATGTTTTTAAAATTTTTTAAACATTTTGTCCAAATTAAATGCGTTTATTATTTATGTTTTTCTTAAAATAAACATAAACCAGTTTACAAATTTTTTGTAAATATAAATTAAAAACGTAAATGTTACAAAACGCTACCCAATTATTATTTTTTTCAAATGCATACAATCAACACAAATTTTAAAATTTTATAAACTATTTTTTAAAAATTATTTTACAAATACAAACTAAACGCGGTTTAATTTTTTTTTTTTTTTTTTGTATTTTCCCTAAATGAAAAAATCAAAAGAAAATTGCAAAGCAATAGAATTTAGGAAATATTACTTGTCAGTGTAAAGCTGAACAAATATTTTTAAATCCGTGGTGTTCTTTATAAATATTAATATATAAAGTTATAACCTTTTTTCAGGGGTGGAGTTAGAACTTCTTTGATGAGGGGTTTAGTGGAATAAATCATTGTTGTATTTTTAGATCCGTGGTGTTCTTTATAAATATTAATATATAAAGTTATAACCTTTTTCAGGGGTGGAGTTAGAACTTCTTTGATGAGGGGCCATTTGGCTAAAGAGAAGGCAAAGGATAAATCTAATAAGTCGTTGACGGATTTGTTGGAATTTTATTTGGTTAAATTATTATTAAATATTATTTAATAGAGGTCAACTGGATCAATAAAATTATAAGAGATTAGTCTTAATTAAATATTATTTGTATGAATTTTATAGTTAAAGAAGTCAAAATGTAAGAATTTATAGAAAATATTAAGGTAATATTTGGTAATAGTTAAAAAAATCTTAATATAATTAATCTATTATATAATATCTTTAGGTACGTAAAGTTTTACCATAGTTAAAAAAATCTTAATATAATTAATCTATTATATAATATCTTTAGGTACGTAAAGTTTTACCAGTGATTTCATTAAATGCATTATAGAAACTCACAAATAAACTATACTGTCCTTAACATGGACTAGATTAACTTTTTTCAATAATGTTACAATTTTTTTTTTTTTAACTACAATAATGTTAGAATGATCATTTTGTTTACCACAATTTGTATATTACTTTAACCATTCATATTTGATACTAATAGGTCATGTTTGATTCACAAGATTAATAGTGAAGTATTAATAATCCTATTAAATTAGTGTGGTATTCACTATCTAATTGGATTAATATCCATTGGATTAATAATCCCACCCCTACCCTATTATTAATAATCCTACAAATCTGTTGAATTAATTATCCATTGGATTAATAATCCTAAACCAAAGTGTTAAAACAAACATAGAATAATTGAGTCCACGGATTAATAATCCCAATCCCATCCTCTAATCCACCCAATCAAACATGCCCATAGAGTACTGACACATAAGAGGATAAACAATGCATAGTAAGAAAATATGATTACCTAACATTATTATAAATGTTTTATTGAAAGGTAACTCTATTATATTAAAGTCTTTATAATTTTTTTGAGTGTTAGATTAAAGTTGGGGAGGCCCATTATGTAATATACCAAAAATAAAAAATAAAAAAAAATTAGCAAAAGCATACATATAAAATGAAGATTTTGCAGAAGATTGGAGGAGCCAAGACCCTTAAACCTTATAACTAAATAATAAAATGGCATAATTTCATACTTTATGAGTTATAACTATAGAATAAAAAAATAAAAAATCATAAACAAACACTACATGAAGCATAACCAAATATTTCAAAATAATATCACCATTAAAGAATAAACTTTGTCATAACTAAAGAAAAAATGACATAACTAAATGTGTATATAATAAAGGGTGTGTATGATATAATTCTCTATCATAATTACACAATTTCATCATATTTGAAATCAATAGACAGTCAAATTTAAAGGGGAGTGGACCCTCTCCAGTTTGATGTTTCAACTAGACGGTCCAGTCCACTCGACGATCCAAATTGTTGAATTTATTGAGCTCGTCGAGTATTTTAGCTCCGTAAAAAAAATCACTTTGATTGAATATGAATAGTTACTTAATCATATCACATTTATGTCAACAATTTATTTTTAAACTCATATTTACTGTTGACCTAAATTTGATCTGACCACGTACCTATCGATATTCGATCAACGTGATTTTTTACAAGGATGAAGTAATCGACGAATCCTACATATTGAACAGTTTGAATTATTAATGTGGGCTCCATGGTTAGCCCACCGAGATTCAACAGCACGCTTCAGTCCGATTTTGGACTGAAGAGAAGCCACTGCCAAAAATCATACTTATTACTTATTGTCTATTTTTTAAAAGGGTTTAACGTCTCTCAAGTTGAGAGTTGGTCTCAACTTGAGAGAGCATTTGAATTTCGTACACCTATTTTGGGACTGATTTAGTGATTCAAACCGTTCACTTTTAAGACTTGTTGAGTAGAATATTCATGCAAAAAAATCAAGATGATTGGATATCGATAGGCCTACGAAACCCAAATACTCTCTCAAATTAATATGACAATTTGAGATAAACCAAACTTTTTTTAAAATTAAATATGATAAAATATTATAATTACAATTTACAATCATTTGATGAGTTTACTTTTTTTTCGTTGATATTCTACGCACACAATCTTACAATATAAACCATTTGAATTATCCTACAATATAAACCATTTGAATTATTGATGTTAACATATAATATACTTTCATATAATGCCTTAGTAGCTGTAAATGTACATCACAGTGCATTAGGAGCTGTAAAGCCAACACCCACTACCACTTTCAGCTTTAGATTCCACTTTGATATTATTGTAATATATTACCTTATGGCTTCGTACTCCATTGTATCCTTCTGCTCTCTATAAAGAGAGAGACCTAATTCTCTTGTAAATTTTGGACTGAAGAGAAGCCACTGCCAAAAATCATACTTATTACTTATTGTCTATTTTTTAAAAGGGTTTAACGTCTCTCAAGTTGAGAGTTGGTCTCAACTTGAGAGAGCATTTGAATTTCGTACACCTATTTTGGGACTGATTTAGTGATTCAAACCGTTCACTTTTAAGACTTGTTGAGTAGAATATTCATGCAAAAAAATCAAGATGATTGGATATCGATAGGCCTACGAAACCCAAATACTCTCTCAAATTAATATGACAATTTGAGATAAACCAAACTTTTTTTAAAATTAAATATGATAAAATATTATAATTACAATTTACAATCATTTGATGAGTTTACTTTTTTTTCATTGATATTCTACGCACACAATCTTACAATATAAACCATTTGAATTATCCTACAATATAAACCATTTGAATTATTGAGTTAGGAACCACAAATGCATAACCCAACTGAAGAGAAGTTGCTTGCTATCTCATATTTGTATTATCAATCCCTGACCCAAATTCATTCCTAGTTGAAAAAACATTCGACTATCATACCCCATACCAATTAGTTTTGTGAATGTCAACTGAAGAGTAATTGATTGGTTTCATGGTCTGAATATTCTAACAACTTGTAAGTAAACTTCAAAACTTGGCATTTATAAATGCCAAAGAGTCACCCTCAACCAGGGGCTTCTTACTTGCACTCCTCTTTGTGTGAATTCCTTTGAATATTGTGGCTGTGACTGTGGAAATCGGAGGCTTTAAAGACATATTTTGAGATATGGGTAGTAAATGAATATGCCTAGGATTTTTTTTAAAATATTTTTTACAATCAATAAGAGATAACGTTATTGTATTTTTTTCCTAAATAAATAAGAGAATGGGTAACTGCAGGTTGCATAATTTTTGATGTGAACCCTATGCATTATGCCATCTTTATTGTTTTATTTTTTTTAAACGTTTTTTCATAAAAAATAAAAATATCATTTTAAAAAATAAATAAAGTTACTTAAATTCAACCTATATTTGACTTATTAAAATTTTATTTGAGATTGACTTTTTATGTAAGCCCTAAACACATTTTAAAAGTTGTTAACTTTCAAGTCATGATTAAACAATCTCATACTTGATTTGATATAACTATATGAATTATAAAAAACCAAATTATTTGAGTTTAAGTTATGTTCGCCTCATTAAAAATTCATTTAAGATTATTTCGTTATGCAAATAAATTAAATTTAAATATGTTTCGAAAGTTATTAAAATATTAAAACCAAATGTAAATAACTTACTACTTAATATTAAAACCAAATATAAATAACGTACTACTTGACTTGTTTATAATTCTTACCACACTCTTATAACTTATCACATTGTTCTTTCCAATACACCACTCGATCCTAGTAGCCTCTATATTCGATTCATAACGTGTTTGTTTTTCAAATGATATATACTCACTCCAAATTTTAAATTTATTTTTGTTTTGTTTTGTTTTATTTTGTTTTGTTTTGTTTTGTTTTTTTTTCCATCCATTTAATATAAAGTCATACCTTTTGAGATTAGAGGTAGGAATGGTTTTAAGATCATAAGTTTGAATTTATTGGCTCAAGTGATCTTATTTATTTATTTATTTATTTATTTTATAAAACAAAAGGAGAAAATTTAATCTTTTTAAAAACCAAAGTAAAAAAAATAAAATAAAATTGCTTATAAATCAAGATTGAAGTTGATAATTGGATTAAAAGACTTGAAGAGTAATAATAGAAGTCTCAAAAAAATTATTAAATTTTTTATTAAATATCATATGAATCTTAGGGTTGGTTTGAGATGTCCTAAAAAAGTGCACTTTTTAACTTATTGGTGGATTTGGGTTGAGTTTGATGTGATGTGTTAAAGAGATGATGTGATTTAAATAAGATGATGTGACTTAAATAAAATAGTGACTTTTTTAACTTTTTAATTTTTTAACTTATTTAGTACATGCCAAACTAACAATCTTAGATGAATCTTAATATTTTTTTTATAAAACTTTTAGCGTCTCCAACATTTTTGTAAATTGAAATGATAGGGGATTGTGTATTTGCCGACGAAGCAAAAAATCAACCCTCATCTATATAGCCGCAGCAATTATTTGGTGGAGCTATCTATCCCGCCATGAAAACACTCCATCCTCTCACCTCCTTCGCACATCTACACATCTCCTGCAATCAAAACCTCTCTATTTCTTCATCCAGAAACGCCCATTCGAACCTCAATTTAAGCTTTTGTTGCTTCAAATCACTTCGCACACTCACTCCAAATCATTCAAAGCAATTTCGAGCCTCGTACAAGTTTCCGAAGTCACTTTTCTCCGCAGAGCCACAGCTCTCCGATGCCGACGAAGAGGAGGAGGACGATGAGGAAGACGACGACGATGACGACGAAGAAGCGGCTGAGGAGTACGAAGACTTCTCCGGCGAGGTTTCCGACGGTGCGGAACAGAGCGAAGATGAATTTGAAATCTCAGTGGACGATGTCTCGGAAACGAAGTCTCGGTTCGAGGAATTCAAGTGGCAGAGATTTGAGAGGCTTCGAAACGAAGTCAGAGAGTTCGGAGAGGAAATTATCGATGTCAATGAACTCGCTTCAGTTTATGATTTCCGCATTGATAAATTCCAGGTCCTTCAAATTCACTTGCAAATATAAAAATTTATATGCGTGTGTGTTTGATTGTACATTTTGTTGATTTAAGTATCTATTTTCTGTATCAGCGATTGGCGATTCAAGCGTTCTTGAGAGGTTCGTCAGTTGTAGTGTCTGCGCCGACGAGCAGCGGCAAGACTTTGGTAGCCGAAGCTGCAGCAGTTGCAACAGTGGCGAGAGGAAGGAGAATTTTCTACACCACTCCTCTTAAGGCGCTATCAAATCAAAAATTTCGCGAGTTCCGGTACAATGAAGATTGAAGAAACTACTATTTAATTATATTGATCAATCATATCAATGTAACTTTCGAATTGCTTGTTGTTTGTATCACTTTTAAATTGTGTATATTATTTTGATTTGTTTGTTTTTGCAGTGAGACATTTGGTGATAACAGTGTTGGTCTTCTTACTGGAGATTCTGCTGTCAACAAAGATGCTCAGGTTTTAATCATGACTACTGAGATTCTGCGCAACATGTTGTATAAGAGGCAAGTCACTTAGTGATCTAAGTTTTGGCTACACCCCACTATGCTATGTTTTACACAAATTTCTAAAATTATTAAAATGTTTATATTTCATCATTTAGTATACTTTGCAATTACCTCTTGTGTTTAATCTAAAATGATTTTATAGGAAATTTTATTTGTATTTCAATTACCTCAAGTGGTTATTATTTTTTCCCATGCAGCATTGGGATGGTTTCATCTGAAAGTGGACTATTTCACGTTGATGTGATTGTTTTGGATGAAGTGCATTATCTAAGTGACATTTCTCGGGGTACAGTTTGGGAAGAGATAGTGCGTACTTTCTATTCTCCTAGTACTCCCTTATTGTCCAATTGTTATTTATTCTTTCTGCATAGAATGTAGTCTGACTGCAGCGCAAATTGTTTTCAGGTTATCTATTGCCCAAAAGAAGTTCAACTCATATGTTTGTCCGCAACAGTTGCGAATCCAGATGAATTAGCTGGCTGGATTGCTCAAGTAATATGGTTGTCTTAGATCCTTTCACAAATCATGCTAAACTTCTTGAACATCGAACTTGTCATATGATGCTACCTGTATATAGAACTATTCTGTTTGATCCATCATATATCTCTTTGGTTAGTGTTCCCAATTCGTGCTACCTGGATTTAGAACCAGTACGTTGAAGCCGTTAAAAGCTGAAGCTTCCTGGTTTTTATTGTTCAAGAATTCAAGATAGTACTTTTAGTTGTTTTTTAGTATAGCTAGTTCATAGCTTGTGGATCCTTTTTTTCATGCATGTTTTGATGACCAGTTCTATCTATATCCTGCAATAAATCTCCTCATTCCTTTGATAAATCATGGCTAATTTTTTTTTTTCTTTTTTTTTTTCTTGAGTATGAGTTTATCGAAATTATTTGTCTCTTTATAATATCTGAGTTCTGAATTCCTCAGTAGAAATGAGTAAACTAGAGCTCTACATTGTTTCTGGCTGAGGCCTCTTTACAGGGATATTAACAGTTCTATTTAGAAGGGTTAGTTGACATTATCTCTAAGCTTGTGGTGATCTCTATTCTCTAATGTTTATTGAAAATATTTGTTTAGTCCCCTGTTCAATTGTTTTGGGCTCTTTTACATGATGTGAATTGGGACAAAGAATTTTAACATACTTCTTCAAGAGGATAGAGAAATTCAAATTTGTTAATTTTACACGTGCTATTTTTTTCCCATGCCAATGACAGCTTTGTAAATTTTCTTGTTATGCTTTAGCTAACAAGTGTGGAAGTATTGGACTTATTCTTTGCACTTAATGGTGATTCTAGATTCATGGTAAAACTGAGTTGGTGACATCATCCAAGCGTCCAGTTCCATTGACTTGGCACTTCTCCACAAAGACATCATTGGTACCTCTTCTGGATGAGAAAGGAACAAGCATGAATAGGTAATGCTAATATGAAAGAACAATCTCCACAAAGACATCAATGCAGGCTCTTAAACTTAATAATTTTGGATAGTATTAACAAAATTCTAACGGATTATTTCCTCTTTTTTTCTTTTAATTTTTATTTTTGGCTTTGTATTTTTATTCTTTTCTTGCTCCCCCAAAAGCTAAAAGTTACGTGTGGAAATTTTATTGTTTGAACAGGAAGCTGTCACTCAACTATCTACAACTTAGTTCATCTGGAATTAAACCAGACAAGGATGAGCGACCTAGAAGAAGGTTTTCAAAAAAACGTGAAAGTGACATGAGCTACAACACTAATGCTAATATGAATGAACAATTTCTATCAAAGAATGACAGAAACACCATTCGCCGCTCACAAGTATGACTTGTATCACTCATTTACTACTGTTAGCTGTTTTTCCCATTTGAATAAGGATTGTTTTTTGTGGTGACTCTCTGTCTCTATATATTGCAACGTCCTCAAAGAATCACAAACAATTTAGTGATCTGCTGTAAAAATATATGTATTATTGATTGATATATATTGATGTTGTATTGTTGATATATCTTTGTTCTATTACAATGGATTGATTATATAGATGTAGGTTAGGTGGTGGTAGGTGAGGAGTAGGTGAGTGTAGTAGGTGAGTGTGTGGTAGGTGATGGTAAGTGTGTGGTAGGTGATGGTAAATTCTAACAGCCCCCCGCAAACTCAAGGAGGATAGAAACTAACCAACTTGAGTTTGAAGAGAGGAACAAAACAAGAAAATACAGAAAAATAAAAAAAAAGATAGGAGACACTGTATGATTGTGTCAGACCGTTGGTGAAGACACTGAAATGTGGTGTCATAACGTGGTAGAGGACACTGTATGGGGGTGTCATAACGTTGTAGAGGACACTGTATGGTGGTGTCATAACATTGTAGAAGACACTGTATGGTGGTGTCATAACGGTGTAGAGGACACTGGATGGCGGTGTCAGACCGATGTAGAAGACAGTTTATGGGGTCATGTCGGACCGTTGTAGAAGACAGTTTATGGGGTCATGTCGGACCGTTGTAGCAGACAATGTGGTGACAGTTGTTGTGACAGTTTACGGAGTCTTGCTGGACCCTTGTAGAAACTAACCGGAATCAATGTCGGGACAGTTTACAAAGTCTTGTCGGACCCTTGTAGAAATAAACCGGAATCTATGTCGGGACAGTTTACAGAGTCTTGTCGGACCCATAAAGGAGCTAACCGGAATCAATGTCGGGACAGTTTATAGGGTCTTGTCGGACCCTTGAAAAAAGCTAACCGGTATCAAATGTCGGGACAGTTTATAGAGTCTTGTCGGACCCTTGGAAAAGTGGCACCCTTTAGAAATGAGTGTATTCAGAAATGGATAGGAGTAACACCGATAGAAGATATGATGAGAGAGAATCGATTGAGATAGTTTGGTCATATTCAACGGAAACCAACAGAAAGCAATAGTGAAGAGATGCAATGCTGTAATGGTAGATGAAGAAAGTGTTAGGGGACGGGGTAGGCCTAGATTAACGTTGGTTAGCGTTGTAAATAGAGATATAGATCTACTTAAGTGGAATTCAACTGCCTTCAGGTTTGCGCCACCACCATCGGCACCATGAAGAAGCTGTCAATGACAGAGAAGCTGAGGACTGCTGTGGACATGGAGGATGTGAGGAGAGAGGTTGAGATCATGAAGCACTTGCCTAAGCATCCCAACATTGTGAGTTTGAAGGATAGTTATGAGGATGACGATGCGGTCCACATAGTGATGGAGTTGTGTGAGGGAGGAGAATTGTTTGATCAAATTGTTGCCAAGGGGACAATACACAGCGAGGGCGGCTGCAGCTGGCATGCGGACAATTGTGGAAGTTGTTCAGGCATGTCACAGGAATGGAGTGATACATCGTGATCTGAAGCCAGAGAACTTTATTTTCGGAAACAAGAAGGAAACAGCCCCCTTGAAGCAAGAAACGTGGCAGCGGAGTGAAGGTATGTGTAGATGTCCGGCGGACTAGGTTGAGGTCCGGTGGGCGGCTAAGGCGAGGTTGCCGCCCGCCGGTGAAGTGAAAAATACTAAATTCTTAACCTTGCTCTGATACCATGTAAAAATATATGTATTATTGATTGATATATATTGATGTTGTATTGTTGATATATCTTTGTTCTGTTACAATGGATTGATTATATAGATGTAGGTTAGGTGGTGGTAGGTGAGGAGTAGGTGAGTGTAGTAGGTGAGTGTGTGGTAGGTGATGGTAAATTCTAACATCTGCAATAGTTTCCAATATTTCAGGTTCCTCAAGTTATAGATACATTGTGGCACCTTCACTCAAGGGATATGCTACCAGCAATTTGGTTTATCTTTAGTAGGAAAGGATGTGATGCAGCTGTCCAGTATCTTGAAGATTGCAAACTTCTAGATGAGTGTGAGATGAGTGAGGTTGAACTGGCCTTGAAGAGGTTTCGTATTCAGTATCCTGATGCTTTCAGGGAGTCTTCCATGAAAGGCCTTCTGCGAGGGGTTGCTGCACACCATGCTGGCTGTCTACCTCTTTGGAAGTCATTTGTAGAAGAGTTGTTTCAGCGTGGGCTTGTTAAGGTTGTTTTTGCTACAGAAACGCTTGCTGCTGGTATCAACATGCCTGCTAGGACAGCTGTTATCTCATCTCTCAGCAAAAGGAGTGAGAGTGGACGTATTCAATTAAACTCAAATGAATTGCTTCAAATGGCTGGGCGTGCTGGACGAAGAGGCATTGATAAACGGGGTCATGTAGTTCTTTTGCAGACTCCGTATGAGGGGGCTGAAGAATGCTGCAAGCTTCTCTTTTCTGGACTTGAACCTCTTGTTTCACAATTTACTGCCTCATATGGGATGGTGTTGAATCTTCTTGCGGTATGTACTCCAACCTATTGCAATTTTATCCAATTTACATTCAATTTGCTGTATTTTAACTCTTAGGACCCTACAGGGTGGAAAAGTTACTCGTAGATCAAATGAATCGGATGACATGAAAGCTTCCCAAGCAGGACGAACTTTGGAAGAAGCAAGGAAGTTAGTTGAACAGAGCTTTGGAAATTATGTGGGGAGCAATGTTATGCTGGCCGCAAAAGAGGAGCTTACTAAAATACAGAAAGAGATTGAAATGCTTACTTCAGAAATTAGTGATGAAGCTATTGACAGAAAGAGCTGGAAGCTGCTATCGGATAGGGCATATAAGGAGATTGCTGATCTGCAAGAAGAATTAAGGGTACCCAAGGCTCTGTTTGGTTTAACTCTCAAATCATAACCCACCCTTATGTTTTAATACTTTGTTTGGTTTAAGTTTTCAAAATTGATTCCAAGGCCACATTTCAAAACTCATTTGACAATATGTTTGGTAGAGTAGGGAGTTTTTGAATTTTGAATTTTGAATTTTGAAAAGAGCAGATTGGGTCTACCCAGTCGTCCCCTTAGACATCCTCCTGGACGTCCGACGGGTTGACCGGAACAGTGCTTTTTGTTTTTTGGTTGCAATTGGCACCTGTTATGTGAAAAAAAAAATTATATTTGTTTTTGATATTTTTTTAAATATAGAAATTATTTTTTTAGACAAAAATGATAAATTATTTGGCCATTTATTTAAAATTAACAAAAAAAAATTAAATAAAAATGAATTTGTCACAGTAATTTTTAAAAAATAAAAAATATTTTAAAACAAAACAATTAAAAAAAAATTCCAACCAAATGTACAATCAAAAGTAATATTTTCGGAATTTTTTTAATTTTTTAAATTAAAGAAATTAGTTGTTGATATTTTTTAAATATAGAAATTATTTTTGATATAGAAATTATATTTGTTTTTGATATTTTTTAAATATAGAAATTATTTTTTTAGACCATTTTTAAACAAAAAAATTAAAAAGAAAAAATTCCAACCAAATATACAATCAAAAGTGATTTTAAAGCACTAGCTAAATATTTTTTTAACAAAAAATAATGTATATATTTTAATATTTTAATAAAAAATATTTTCAGATTTTTTTTTAAGTTTTTAAATAAAAAATTTATTTTTTGGAATTAAATTTTAAAAAGAGCTTGGTTATGAGTTTTGAATAGAATTTTTAATAGAGTTTTGAGTTGTGTGTTTGATTATGAGTTATAAGTTTTTGAATTAAGTTTTTAAAACTCTTTTGAAAATTCATAACCAAACAACTCTTCTCATTTCAAAAATTCAGAACTTAATTCGAAATTCAATTTAAAACCCTTTTCAAAACTCATAACCAAACAAATTTTCTCTTTTCAAATCATGATTCAACAACTCACAAAATCAAAGTACAACACAATTTTCAAATCATGATTCTAAAACTAAACCAAACGCAACCTTATTTCTCTTTTCATTTTAACTGCTAGTCCTTGCTTATTTATTATTTATTTTTTTTACTTTGGATGGTTAATTTGCAATCAAGTCATGTACACCTTCTGCAGTATGATAAACGTCTATTACTCAGTCTGTTGTTTTACTTGTTGAGGACCAATGTAATCTGCAAAGTTGATTGAAATGTTGTTTTGAACGATTTAATGTGTCATGGAATAAAAAACTAATGCCATTCAAACTTGTAAGAAATAATGTATAGAGAAAGAGAGAGAATAAATTGTATGTATTATTATTGCTTGATGTAATGTTATATCAATTACAATGATTCATGATTCCTATATATAGAAGAGGGTGAGTGTGTAGTAGGTAAGGAGTAGGTGAAGTGGAGGTGGTAGTGGTGTAGTGGGTTAGGTTTAGTGGAATAGGTTTAAGTGGGTGAAGTAGGTGGAGAGTAGGTGGATTTTAACAAAACTTTAATTCATGCAAGATGTATTTTCATAGTATCTAAATAGTTTAATCTTGTTTGCTCTAGAAAACCAGAGGTTTTTGTGAAAGCTCTCCTTGTCATGGTGTGTATACACATTATTTTATTAATGGTTTCTTGTATGCATGTATGAATTTGCCATTTACTTTCTACTTGTTGCTTTCTAACTAAGTTTTGTTTTTCTGCTTTGCTGTGGTCTGTAAACATGTAAATATATGTAACATACATTTTATTGAGAATAATTGCACTATGTTTTCCTCAGGCAGAAAAAGTTCTACGGACTGAACTGCGGAGAAGGATGGAAATTGAAAGAATTTCTGCTTTCAGACCTCTATTGGAGGAGTTGGAAGATGGACATTTGCCTTTTATGTCTTTGCAATATAATGATGCTGAAGGTGTTCAACATTTAGTTCCAGCTGTTTTTTTGGGAAAGGTTGATTCTCTAGAAGGTTCTAAACTCAAGAACACCGTAAGTAATGTGTACTTATATATGTATATGTGATTTTTGTTGTCCAAGCTTTGAAAGGTATTGTGGTTTGAGTATTTATCAAAAAAAAAAAATAAAGGTAGTATTGTGGTTTGGGCAATCATTGAAAAGTAATACATTTTTGGTTGACTGGCAAAAAAGGCTTTGTATATTCATGTCCATAGAACGAGTTTAGTTGGAAATTGCTGCTATGGAAGAAGCTGAAAATATGTACAGTTCTTACATATGAAATGTACCTAATTGGATTATATTATTTGGAACATTGGAAATTGTGTTTTATTTTGTCAAAATTATTATATTTTTTGTAAAATTATTTTATAAAACCCCCAGATTTTGGGGCATCACATTCTTCTTACACCATAATGATCATCAACTCAAAATCCTGAATTTTCTATGGCTCATATTGAGGTAATATTATTTTTGAATTTTGAAACTCGAAAGTTCTTATTTGGCATTGCAGCATAACTAATGTGAATTGTCTCAAGCTTTCTTTGAGGCTAATCTCAAATGTTTGTTGACTGGGGCCCTTTAAGCATTTACTCTTACTAATCCTAGCACTTCATCTTCTTGATAGAGGACATAATTTGAATTTTTCTGTTCTCTTATTTGCAGGTTTATGCTGATGATTCTTCTTCATTGAATGTAGTCAGACCAGAATTTTATTGTGGTGATACTGAAAAGAAACACAATATCAAACTATCTTATTATGTGGCCCTCGGTTCAGATAATTCTTGGTATCTTTTCACAGAGAAGTGGATTAAAAAAGTGTATAAAACAGGCTTACCTAATGTTGCCTTGGCTCATGGTGATGCTTTGCCTCGGGAGATTATGAGGATGCTACTTGACAAGGAGGAAATGCAGTGGCAGAAACTATCAAATTCTGAACTTGGTGGTTTTTGGAGCATGGAAGGATCTCTAGAAACGTGGTCTTGGAGCTTAAATGTGCCTGTGTTGAGTAGTCTTTCTGAAGATGATGAGGTAAGTCATAACTGGAATGGATTAATGCATTACTATTACCCTTTATATGGGAGAAGCACAAAGTTTAAAATTTTCATCTTTGGCCAATATTAGTGTGCGTTAAATACATGTTAACATAATTTTTATATTTATCTCTGAAATCTGATTTGAATTTTTACATTGCAACCACCCATATTTATCTTAAAACTTTGTTTATAAGTACGTGGATCATGCCCTTTTTCCATGAAAGTATGGGGCACTACTAGCTCACTATGGATTTCCTTACTTAGCTTGTGACTTACGATGCATCTATTCTCTAATACACAAGTTATATAGTTTAATGTACTGTTAGTATATTTCAACTTGACTACCAAAGACAACTCTTTCTATTTTTTATTTTATTTTTTGTGTGGGTGTGTATGTGTGATTCATTTGGTGAATATAAACATCTCATGTAGGGTTGTGTCCCCTGCATCTAAATTTGGGGAATTGCTCTTCACAACATCTCATTTCATGTAGAAGCATTACCTGAAATCATCAAGAAATACTTCTAACTGCAATACTAACAAGGAAGCATCGAATCTGTCATTTAGACATCTGGCCTCCACTGGTAATAACTCTTCTTTTTCCCCTCCTTTTGTCCCTGCAGTCTGCGCTAGAGAAAAATTATGATTCTGAGCTATAATTGTTTGGGGCTCTTTGAGTTATTTGTCTACAATTTTTTCCCTAATGTTATGTAACTTATATTGTTTATTCTGCTTTCTAAATTTAAGAGCTCTTGATATAAAAAAAAGAAAATGCAAAGAATGAAAAAAAAAAAAAAAAAAAAAAGAAAAAAAAAAAAGAAAAGAAAAAATGATGATTGAATAACGTTTTTCATTGTTAGGTTTCACAATTTTCACAAGCATACCATGCTGCAGTAGAATCTTACAAGGACCAAAGAAACAAAATCTCACGTTTAAAGAAAAAGATATCACGTACAGAAGGCTTTAGAGAATATAAGAAGATCGTAGACATGGCTAAGTTTACTGAGGAAAAAATTCGGCGCTTGAAGGCTAGATCAAATCGCTTGATTGGTAGAATAGAGCAAATTGAGCCATCTGGCTGGAAGGAGTTTCTGCAGGTAATACATTGTTTTTTTTACATTTAGTGACATTTCATAAACTTTGCATGGCTAGTTATTATTGTTATTATTATTATTATTTTTTTCGATAAATTGCATGGGTGGTAATGTTTTCAAGTATAGGTGCATGTGACATTATCCCTGAACATTTGAAATAATTGGTATGACATTGGGATAGAATAAAATATTGCTATGAAGATACTATGTTCTTTTATTTTATTTTTCCAGTTGGAATACCATGTTCTTCTCCGTATTTATGCATACTATTAAACTAAATAAATTCCTAAATTTTCATTATTGTTCAATGGGAGAAAAAAATGGTCTTACAAATTGGCGAAGCAATTCCCAATTCAGCACTTTGGACATTAGTGCAACAACTAATTGGGTTGACTTATGACATGCCATTATTTGTATGAAAGGGCGTCTTAAATAACATGCTGATCATGCAATTGCACCTAAATATTTATTTCAAAATTGTTTAACTGGTGTTAAAACCAACCATAAGCAATTTGTGTGGTCAAGATAGAGATATGCTACTATGCTTAAACTGGCTTACAAGTGGGAGGAGGACAGTAATAATTTAAAGCAAAACCTATTAATGTTAGCTTGATTTAGTAAGCACGACCTTTATTTACCCATATGGACGTTGTTTGAAAAATGAGTTCTTGGGCACTTGGAATTAAATAAATTTTATTTTCATAATGTTTGCCAGGTTAGCAATGTCATACATGAAGCCAGAGCATTGGATATCAATACACACATGATATTTCCTCTTGGTGAAACTGCAGCTGCAATTCGAGGAGAAAATGAACTCTGGCTTGCTATGGTTCTTCGAAATAAAGTGTTGCTAGATCTAAAACCTGCACAGCTTGCTGCTGTCTGTGGAAGTTTAGTTTCTGAAGGGATTAAAGTTCGTCCGTGGAAAAATAACAGGTATCATCGTATGCTTAGACGTTGGGAACTTCTTTTTTATTTATTGTGGGTAAGCCGAGATTGCATCTCTATGGATGTTATACAGGTCAAAAAAAAATGAATACTAGCACAACTCCAAAGCATATTTGTTTCATCTTGTTGGTTCTAATTTTTACTTAATACATTGAATGCTAAATGTGCTTAGTTTTTATCACTTGGAAAAAGAATCAAAATTTTAATAGCCATGCACACAAGTCTTGGGAAGTCCGGTGGAAACATGATTGAGTACATTCAGATATACACAACAATTGAATTAGTCCATTGTGTTTTAGACTGTATTCTTTTAACTTAAAGGACTAAGTAGGTTGGAACTATATAAATAGGAGTCTTCCTACCGATATGATTAGATCAATCATGAAGCATACTAGAGTTTTGTTGGGAATTATGCCAAATCTTAAACCAATTTGTTTATTCGAGTGTTTATTGAAAGCAAGAGCATTTTAGTTAGTACAAGAGCTTGTTTTAATTTTGTTTCACCAAAATATCATCGTGATTTGTGTCATTAATGAACTGCTAAAATTTGTCCTTCAAATGCCATGTTGGAAAACTAACGCCTAGATACCCTCTTAGGTGTTCACATATGTCTTGTCATTCTTAATGTTAACAATAAGCAATAGAATCCACATAAATGACAAAAAGGTAAACCAATACTTGGATAGTTTATTACTAGCCTATTCAACTGAATTTGAACATTATCTAGAAAGCCTGTGATTTTAATTTATTATCTGCAGCTTTATATATGAACCTTCCAGTACTGTAATAAAAGTCATCAACTTTTTGGATGAGCAAAGAAGCTCCCTTGTGCAACTTCAAGAAAAGCATGGTGTAAAGGTGAGTCCACTGGGATGATAGGTCCACTTTTATTATGGCGACATTTTTGTAAGCATATAGATATTCCTGGACAATAATTGTGTCTCTGGTGCACAGATATCATGCTGTTTGGATAGCCAATTTTCAGGCATGGTAGAAGCCTGGGCTTCTGGATTAACTTGGAGAGAAATTATGATGGATTGTGCAATGGATGAAGGTGATCTAGCTCGCCTCTTACGACGGACGATTGATATATTAGCTCAGGTATGATGTATGCAATGGATGATGGTGATCTAGCTCGCCTATGATTTAGTCTCACTGATCCCTGTTAACTTGTAATGCCATTGGTTCCACATGTGAGGCAGTGATGCTGTCCAGGGCCGGCCTAACCCTCAATGAAGCCTAAGGCGAAGTCTCAATTAGAGGCTTTTTAATATTTAAATATACTTTAAATTACATTCTTATTTTTTTATATTGCGGATTATTAATACATGCAACTAAAATTGTAGGCTTTAATATTGGGGGGCACCTTTGGATAATGAATTTTTTTAGCTGGGCCTTCAAGAATTTTTTTTTTTTTTTTTTTCAGCCTTCCTAATCATGCATCTTTACTTGGAATAACTTTTTGGGGCCTTTTTATGAGGAGGGTTTTTCTTCAATCTTTACATTTGAGGACCTTTGGACGACGAAATTTTTTTGACTGGATCTTGGCATTAGACATTTTTTTCTAGGCTTTTGGGTAAAGGAAGGTTCTTTTTTTTCTTCTTTCTGTCTCTCTCTCTCAATTATTAGGCTTATAGACAAAGGAAAATTTGGGACCTCTTCCAAAATGGGGCCTAAAGCCATTACTTGAATGGCCTAGGCCTTGAGCAGGTCCCGATGCTCTCTTTTTAGTTTGGTTTGTACTGAAGTCATCTACATAGTTTTAGTTTTTCTTAATTGCAGGTTCCGAAATTGCCAGATATTGACCCATTGCTGCAAAGCAATGCGGTGACTGCATCGAATGTCATGGACCGCCCACCAATTAGTGAACTGGCTGGATGAATATTAAAGAACCTTTCACGACATTTCTAGATTTGAGTAGTTAAATTTCCAAGGTTGATTGTTCAACGATACTAGGTAATGTATCTGTTTTATTTGAACTCCACAAAGCCATATATATGGTATTATTTTGCAATTTTATGCGGTTATGTTTCTGAGGTTATATTTCTGAAATATTATAATTCCTTTTTTGACGTTCAAGGCAGCGTTTCAATGTAGAGTTTACCCAAATTTTACTAACGAGATTATTTTTCTCTTCAAATACATTGAAGTTTATATTTTGTACCTTAGCCATGAATAGTTATACTAATGTGCTGACATTATCAATTAATGCTCTAATTGTGGAAATGACTCATGGCATGTGAATAAGGCAGAACTCCTGACGTGGTCATAGCTCAAATCTTTGCAGTACTGACAAAGCATTTTGTTGTAGTCAACTTAAGATAATAATGTAACATGAAACACTTGCTAGAATATATAATAATGTGGCTAGTTTTTGTTGGGGTTTCTCATGTGACCCCATTGAATTAATGAAAAAGTATGTAAAAATAGGATTAAAACTGTTGAGGGAAATTTAATTGAGTTGAAATTAATTCAATTTTTGAGAAAAAATTGAATGATCCTATCAGACAAAATTTATAGTTGTAAATATTAGAAAATGTGCATGCATTTATTTATTTTAATAATGCAAAGATTCAAGCAGTTCACATACCATTTTGACTCAGATGTAAAACAGTTTCGAGTCTTAGAATGTATATTTATCGCTTAAATGCTTTAATGTTGATTTAATGTATATTTATCGCTTAAATGCTTTAATGTTGATTTTTGGCTTTTATCTAGGTCGAGTATTTCATGTTGGCGGTTTTGCAACACTTGCAACTTCCGCTCAATTGCTGCAAGGTGTGGCTGTGGAGGAAGGTATTGAGCTCAAGTGAATTCCAGTAAAATGGTACCAGGGTTGCTCATCTAGCCCCTTGGAAAGGCTAGTGAGTTTATTAAACCTATTTACATTGTTCATAAAGTCGAGCAAGCCTCTATTCTTAACTGAATGTAAGCAAACAGATGTTCTGGGTCAAGCAAAAATTATGATGGTTCAGGTAGTTGAGATAAGTTTTCTGGTTCCCCAGATGGATTGGGACAGCTGTGTTTCTATCTAATTTAATTATAGGTTTAATTATAGGGTAAATTACACTGACACTCCCTGAAGTTTGGTCCAATTACATTTCATTCCTTGACGTTTTAGAAATTATATTTTCACTCCTGTGGTTAATAGTCTCATTTTACAAATCCTCTTGTTTATATAAAAGGTAACAACTCTTAGTAAAAAAATAAAGGAAATTATATTTGAAAAAAAAAATAAAACAAAGGAAAGAAAAAAAAAAATAGAGGAAATAAATCAAAGTAAGAAAAGAGGGAGTGCATGAGTTCAATGTTTTCATTATGTTTAAATAATTTCAATGATAGAGGATTAGTATAATTTTTCAAATGTTAGGGGGTGATATATATTAAATTCAAATCTCAAAGAGTGTAAGTGTAATTTATCCATAATTATATTATTGGATATTTGTATTTTGCAAGTAGGTGTAAATATCAAGATGTTTAGGCTCATGATGTTGGATTTTCACACTGTAATAAAAAATCTTACGTTTTTAGCAAGACTGTCTTGGCTTTTATCGATGACTAATAAATTTTTAATTTTGTTTCTTTATCGATGTGTTTGCTAAATGAATAATGTTACATGCACTAATTAGTGTATACATTAGTGTACCAATAGATGACGTGACATAATTTAAATTTTTTTGAATATTTATAATTTGTATAATAAATAGGATCATTAATGATATCATAACATATTTGGTACATTAATGTATACACTAATTGATGCATGTAATATCACCGTTACTAAATTGTCTCGAGTGTTCTATTTCGAATTCCAAAATTTTATGTGAAACAAATGGTGTGTTCTATCCTTTGTGTCACTTGTCTGAAAATCATGTGTATTTTTTTTACTCTTATTTATTGCATTGCATTGCATTGCATGTAGATTATTGATTAGTTTATGTAATATTAGAATCTACTTGAAACAAAATTAATCACATGAAAATATCAATACGCAAACAGAATTAAAAACATTAAAATATCAAGTTTAGACATGTAAACACAATGGGCTCCCTTTGGGTGAAATGAAAATGAAGAAACCAGCTTATAGAATAAAAAATTTTAATTTTTAGTCTATGTTTGTTAGATTTTAATATTTTAATCATTTTTTTTTCTTTTCAAATTCACTTAATTTAGATCACTTATAAAGTATAAAAATTGTAAAAAAATCTTTACAAAATTCAAAAATTACAAAAATTTAGTACAATTTTTTTTGTTTTTTTTTCGTTTTAGTGTTCTCACAAATATATATATATATATAGTGTGTGTGTTAATTTTCGACCACACTGCCAATCAAGTACTCAGTTAGAGAACACTGGCAGAATAGATGTAGCCTGAACAACCTGTCACAGAAAGAAGAGATCCCGGCAGTGGTTCATCCACCCGGGGGCACTCCGATGATCAAGTCAGTTATCTCTCAAAGACAACAAAAGTGCTTAACTCACTATTCAGAACACAAAAAGTGTACCTTAGACCCATGGGGTGCTGCTCTTTTATAGCCAACACTTACCTAGTCCCAATAGAAACCTAGTTTCAATAGACTTAGGATTACTGCTAATCTTGAACTCCCAGTAGGATTGAGATAAACTCTCTAAGAGCCTTATCTTTACCCCAAGTAAAGCCTTCTCCCATTCTAGGACTCTCGTCCCTTATTCGCTTATCCCGAATTCTGGTATCTTCCGAGATAACCTCGGCCTAGCTGAGATCACCTCGGCGTCATGACCAGGACACGTGGCACCTTGACCGGCACTCCGGTGACACCTCGGCCACGTGTCGTTATTCAAAAATTATGTCCCCACAACTGCCCCTTAGGTTCTATTACCTCGGCATCATGAGGTGATGGAACCTATATCATTTCCTCCATTTAGCGCGTCGGTTAAACTCGCTTCGACCTTCACTACTGAGGTCATAACTTGTCGGCTCAATGTGACCACGAATAATCTGTTTTTCAGTAATACGTTAGAACTATTAGCCAAGTTCATTTAACTTTCTCAGCCGAGGTCCTGCTTCATTAAATCAAGAACCCAAAGAGTTTCTTTACGCGTATGAGCTGTCACGCACAGCAACCCAACCGTTTTTACCACGCGTCTTTTCCCTACTAGACCGTACCCGATACGCACCATCAAGTCGCATCACTTGTGCGTGCGCCGTCTGACAAGCATGTCGCCCTAGGCACATTGATTGTAATTTTGCCGCCATTCCATGGTTTCGATCAAAATCCTTTCTCTCTCTTTCTCCGTCTTTTCACTTTTGCATCCTCTTTCCCAAGCTCCCAGCTTTTCCTCTCTCTAACTTTCTCTCCCAAATCCGCCATTGTTGCTCTCGTGAACCTTTCTGCAACCACCTTCAATCTTCCCTTCCGGCGAGGCTTTTGCTGCACTTCTTTGCTCACTTTCACCGTTCGACACCAGCATATTTTACACCGGCCTCATTTTCTTCGGTCAGTCATTGTTCCTTCCTTCGCTTCAATTTCTTGTTTCACATTTTATTGCCTCTGTTTTTTAGCCACGTTTGAACATATTCATATGCTCTCATTCCTGTTTTGCTTATTTTGCCTCTGTTATTGGCCTTGTACCCTTGCACACACTCTGTTACAGTGTTCTTGATAGAGCATCACCATTCTTGATTCTGAATCTTTATTTTTGTTTCTTTTTTCCGTGTTTTCTTCAGATTCTTGCCTTCAATCCTTGGCTTACATAGACTTAGGTTTGAGATTTGTCGTAGAACGCACAAACTTTAGGAAAAAACTGAAACAAACTTCACTTAGATCCTCAAAATTTCTTGTCCCATCATTCGTCTAGGTTTTGTTGAGGTCCCTCAAACCTTTACAGAACACACCCTTCTGAAATCCAACACCTTCCCCCAAGCCGACATTATAGGTATGTGGAGGCATAGGGTAGATACCCCAACTAAGTTAGAATACTTTAGGCAAGAGTTTTCCATCCCAGCCGACGTTCACCTGAGGTTGGCTAGTGAGGACGACTCCATCATGCCTGATGGAAACCTCATGCCTTTCCCTGTCGTTGCATTACAGAATGTGGACTTAGGTTTCCACTAGACATCCTTTTTTTGAGAAGTCCTTCATTATTACAAATCAAAACCCAATGCAGCTTGTCATTAACTCTTACCGAGTTATCAATGGTATAATTGCCTTAGCACGCCGAGAAAAAGCTAGGGTAACCTTAGCCGACATTCAATACTGCTATACCATGTGTGGCCTCAAGTTAGAAAAAGGCTATGTCTACTAACTCAAACCGAGGTCCACTGAATACAAACTTATTGTCGACCTCCCAGACTCCAACAAGGGAGCCGGGGACGATTACTTCATTGTCTCAGGCAATTGGGAGTTTGCTCTAGATGAGGACCTTCACCTCTACTCTCTTATGAGGACCTTCACCTCTACTCTCTTAGCCGAACAGTATTCATAGATGGTAATGGTAAGAGCCAAGTGTTATATTTTTTTCAAGTCTTTAATACTTTGTTCTTTCTATATGTTCTAATGTCTGTTTTTCTTGTAGCTCTTCCACAGCCACCAAAAGACTTCCGTAAGTCCTTCCCCAGTAAGGATCTTAAAAATTTGTTGGATCTGCCAGTCCATAGGTGGAGAGCTCCTCTGCTGCTTAACTTTATCCCGACTTACAAGTCAGTACTTCCCGACGTCCCAAGGAAGCAGAAAAGCAAGTCTCCTCCTTCCGTCACAACTCCACCAACAACTTCATCATCTCGGCCAGATTAGGGGTCAACCTCAGATCCAGCAAAGCAGCCATCTACCTCGGCTCCACAACTGATCCCACCATCCCAACGCCGACGCCGAATAGTAACTGTCGCCGAGATGAGTCGCAAGAAAGCAGTTGCAGACGATCTTCTGGCCGACATCCCTGACACAGTCAACGCTCAACCCTCTCCTTTGCAATCTCAACCGAAGCCAAAGCCCAAAAGGCTGAAGAAGGCTCAACCCAAGGCAACAGTGACTCAGATTGACACTAAGGATACCTTGCCAATTTCAAAATTGGCCAAGACCGAGAAGACCCCCTCTGCTGCCAAGAAAAGGCCTGCCGAGGTCGAACCATCCCAATTAACTCGGTCGAAGAGGCAGAGGTCCGAGTCGGCCACAACCTCGGGGCCCATGAAATCAGATGCCCCCCTAGGCTTCTCCAATCACCATCGAGGACAAGCCGGTCAGAGCGCATAGGGTAGATACCCCAACTAAGTTAGAATACTTTAGGCAAGAGTTTTCCATCCCATCCGACGTTCACCTGAGGTTGGCTGGTGAGGACGACTCCATCATGCCTGATGGAAACCTCATGCCTTTCCCTGTCGTTGCATTACAGAATGTGGACTTAGGTTTCCACTAGACATCCTTTTTTTGAGAAGTCCTTCATTATTACAAATCAAAACCCAATGCAGCTTGTCATTAACTCTTACCGAGTTATCAATGGTATAATTGCCTTAGCACGCCGAGAAAAAGCTAGGGTAACCTTAGCCGACATTCAATACTGCTATACCATGTGTGGCCTCAAGTTAGAAAAAGGCTACCTCTACTAATTCAAACCGAGGTCCACTGAATACAAACTTATTGCCGACCTCCCAGACTCCAACAAGGGAGCCGGGGACGATTACTTCATTGTCTCAGGCAATTGGGAGTTTGCTCTAGATGAGGACCTTCACCTCTACTCTCTTAGCCGAACAGTATTCATAGAGGGTAATGGTAAGAGCCAAGTGTCATATTTTTTCTAAGTCTTTAATACTTTGTTCTTTCTATATGTTCTAATGTCTATTTTTCTTGCAGCTCTTCCACAGCCACCAAAAGACTTCCGTAAGTCCTTCCCCAGCAAGGATCTTAAAAAGTTGTTGGATCTGCCAGTCCATAGGTGGAGAGCTCCTCTGCTGCTCAACTTTATCCCGACTTACAAGTCGGTACTTCCCGACGTCCCAAGGAAGCAGAAAAGCAAGTTTCCTCCTTCCGTCACAACTCCACCAACAACTTCATCATCTCGGCCAGATTAGGGGTCAACCTCAGATCCAGCAGAGCAGCTATCTACCTCGGCTCCACAACTGATCCCACCATCCCAACGCCGATGCCGAATAGTAACTGTCGCCGAGATGGGTCGCAAGAAAGCAGTTGCAGACGATCTTCTGGCCGACATCCCTGACACAGTCAACGCTCAACCCTCTCATTTGCAATCTCAACCGAAGCTAAAGCCCAAAAGGCTGAAGAAGGCTCAACCCAAAGCAACGGTGACTCAGATTGACACTGAGGATACCTTGCCAATTTCAAAATTGGCCAAGAGCGAGAAGACCCCCTTTGCTGCCAAGAAAAGGCCTGCCGAGGTCGAACCATCCCAATTAACTCGGTCAAAGAGGCAGAGGTCCGAGTCGGCCACAACCTCAGGGCCCATGAAATCAGATGCCCCCTAGGCTTCTCCAATCACCATCGAGGACAAGCCGGTCAGAGCCAGCAATAACGCGACTGACCTCAAAGTCGGTGTTGCCCTCTCTACGACTTTGCTCCTTCCCAATGATCTCAACCACATCGCCGAGATGAGCGAATATGAAAATTTTGCTCTAATGTTGCAGCATTCTGTACAAGTAAGCCCCTTACACTTGGTATTTTACTTTCTTTATTTCTCATACTTAGAAAATTTCACTAACTTGTTTTTTCCATTTCTTCTAGGCGATTCAGCATGGCTACTCATTTGCGATGTAGGCCTTTGCCATCAACAAGGAGTTAGTAAATAAAACCAAGGAGGCTGCAAGCTTATAGAAGGCCCTTAACAAGGCTGAGGCAAAGATGAATACCTTGGTAGATCAGGCCGAGGTGACCAAGAAGGCTCAGGATGAGGCCGAGGAGAAGGTTGATGCTGCAGAGGCCATTGTCAAGGTCCTTACGGCCGAAAAGAAAGAGGCCGAGGAAAAGATGGCCGAGGCTCAAAAAGAACTCCAGGATGCCTTGGCCACAAAAGAGGCTGAGATCAAGGCCACCGATGAAAAGGCATACGCCGAGGGGATGGTCGACATCAAGGAGGATTACAGAAAACAAGTGAAGCAGGCATGCAACAGGGGTTTCACCCTTGGTTGGATGGCTGCCCTTAAAAAGTTGGACGTCCCCAAGGACTCTCTCCTCAAAAATGCCGGCGACCTTCCCCTGTCATTCCCCCTTACTCCAAGCCAATCCGAAGATGATTCTGAGTCCGAGAAGGAAGCTTTGGTCAGGAAGAAGAAGAAAGCTGCTGGGGCCAAGTCCCCTACTCTGAATGATCAAGTCGTAGACTTGTCTCAGGATGAGGAGGGTGAGGTTTCCAAAGATGCCACTCCTGAGAGGACAACATCCGGACGTGCCTGTTGCCGACAAGAACGTCGACCAGACTCTCAAAGAGATCGACGCCGAGCTCGCGGTTGAGAAAGCCGCCGAGAAGAGTTCTCAAATGTCTTCCGAGCCCCAAACCAATGCTGATGCCGAATAGTCTAGTCTTTGATGTTTTTCTTCTATACTTGGCACTTTTTATTACTTATTTATTTATTGAAACAATGTAAGCTCTTTATTTGGCCGATGTGCTTTCTTGTAAATACAACTTCCTCTTTTGAATGCTTGCATGTTTGTCTTCTTTATATGACTCTATACTTAGAATAATTTGGATGTCTTCAACATACACCTTAACTGTGCAATCTTCTCGGGGTGACATACCTCGGTCATACAAACCAATGTTTTTATCTCGGTAAGTACGTAAGTACTTCTTTTATTACAACCTTGACTTAACTTGTAAATTTTTCTAAAAAAATTTCAACAAGTGTTTAAATTAATCTTCCTTTAAGATAACCTCGGTTTAACTTCAACTTGTAAATTTAAAATTTCAACAAGTGTTAAACATGACCTCAGTTTAACTTCAACTTGTAAATTTAAATTTTCAACAAGTGTTAAACATGACCTCGGTTTAACTTCAACTTGTAAATTTAAAATTTCAACAAGTGTTAAATATGACATCGGTTTAACTTTAACTTGTAAATTTAAAATTTCAACAAGTGTTAAACATGATCTCGGTTTAATTTCAACTTGTAAACTTAAATTTCAACAAGTGTTAAACTAATCTTAGCTTGTAAATTCCAGCTCCTAAGCATCATTCTTCAGCCCTCTGCCCCCTAATGTGAACTTAAGTTGCACTTGGGTTCTCATTAAGTATGTGGCTTTTGAACTTGTTGCTGTGGTCAGATTTCAACAAAGACTAGCCGAGATTACCAACCTTGGTCTCTTTGCTAATCTGACTGGCATGTACTGAGTTCAAGTCTGCGTTTGGCTCTGTCGAAATGGCAAATCCATGTTAGTCCAACTTGTTCAACTTTATTATATGCAAGTAGGAGCTCTGCCCTACAATAAGTCTAAGGTATTCGTCATATTTCAATCGGAAACATCGTCAAGTTCCTGACCAGTCATACTACACAAGTGTACTCAAGCTAAAACTTTATTATTACTTCGGCTAATAACAAAGAACTTTAAAAAACAAGCAAATCTAATGATAGAAGAACTTCAGATTTCAAGTATTCCAAGGTCTTGGCAACCCTTTGCCTTCACTATCTTCAAGCTGATATTCCCCATTCCCCAATACCGAGATGATTCTATAGGGTCCCTTCCAATTTGGGCCAAGCTTGCCCTCCCTAGGATCCTTCTTATTAATGACAACCTTTCTCAGGACGAGGTCCCCAACTTGGAACTCTCTTGCTTTGACCTTCTTATTGTAAGCTCTAGCAAGCTGTTGTTGGTATGCCCCCAGCTGAATTGCTGTTTTCTCTCTTCTTTCTTCCAGAAGATCCAGATCTCGGGCCAAGAATGCTTCATTGGTCCCTTTCTCTACTCCCTAGGTTCTGATTCCTGGGATGCCGACCTCCAGTGGAATGACTACTTCTGTGCCATAAGCCATGGCAAATGGTGACTCCCCAGTTGATCTTTTCAGCGTAGTCCAATATGCCCAGAGTACATTGGGCAACTCTTCCACCCACTTTCCTTTTGCTGCTTCCAGCCTTTTCTTGATCACATCCAATATAACCATATTGGAGGCTTCTATTTGACCATTACTCTGGGGAAAGCTTAGGGTAGGGTAATAGTTCTTGATTTTGTACTTTGCACAGAAACTCTTAATTAGCTTACTGTCAAATTGTGTACCATTGTCAGCTATTATTGCTCTTGGGATCCCAAACCTGGTGATGATGTTCTTCCAGATGAAGTTCTTCACATCAACGTCCCAAATCTTTGCAAGGGGTTCAGCTTCTACCCACTTGGTGAAGTAATTTGTTGTTACCAATAGGTACTTCCTTTGTCCAGTTGCTTGGGGCAATTGCCCAATAAGATCCATGCCCCATTGGGCAAATGACCAAGAGCTGGACACCGGGTTTAAGTTTGCTGCTGGTTGATGTATCAAAGGTGTAAACTTCTGGCATTTCTTGACATAGGCTTCAGCATCTTTTTGCATGTAGGGCCACCAATACCCTTGAGTAATGACTCTATGAGCAAGTGACCTGCCCCCAGCGTGGCTTCCATATACTCCTTCATGTATTTCATACAGAAAGTGTTCAACTTGTGAAGGATGTACACACCTTAAAAGGGGTCCAGTAAAAGATCTTCTGTAAAGATGTCCTTTTGCTGTCAGAATGAATCTTGCCGACTTCAGTCTGATCTTGTGTACTTCTTTATGATCATTTGGCAGTTTTCCCTCTTTGAGGAATACTATTATTGCATCCATCCAGCTTGGTCTCATATCCACACAAATTGCTTCATGCTCTGTGTTCAGTGGTTCTATGCTTGGGCTCGACAAGTATTCAATCATAATTGTTCTTGCCTCTCCTGGTTTCATTGCACTAGCCAGGTTGGCCAGCATGGTTATTGTCATCTCGGCTAACCTGATGCAGTCAACAGTTCTGGAATAAGGCTACCAGTCTGCCCACTTCCATGCCCCATTGGGCAAATGACCAAGAGCTGGACACCGGGTTTAAGTTTGCTGCTGGTTGATGTATCAAAGGTGTAAACTTCTGGCATTTCTTGACATAGGCTTCAGCATCTTTTTGCATGTAGGGCCACCAATACCCTTGAGTAATGACTCTATGAGCAAGTGACCTGCCCCCAGCGTGGCTTCCATATACTCCTTCATGTATTTCATACAGAAAGTCTTCAACTTGTGAAGGATGTACACACCTTAAAAGGGGTCCAGTAAAAGATCTTCTGTAAAGATGTCCTTCTGCTGTCAGAATGAATCTTGCCAACATCAGTCTGATCTTGTGTACTTCTTTACGATCATTTGGCAGTTTTCCCTCTTTGATGAATACTATTATTGCATCCATCCAGCTTGGTCTCATATCTACACAAATTGCTTCATGCTCTGTGTTCAGTGGTTCTATGCTTGGGCTCGACAAGTATTCAATCATTATTGTCCTTGCCTGTCCTGGTTTCATTGCACTAGCCAGGTTGGCCAAGGCATCGGCATGGTTATTGTCATCTCGGCTAACTTGATGCAGTCGACAGTTCTGGAATAAAGCTGCCAGTCTGTCCACTTCTTTTACATAGGTCAACATCTTTTCATCTCGGGCTGCATATTCGTTTGTTGCCTAGTTGACGATAAGCTAGGAGTCACAGAAGACTATTACCTCGTCAGCTTCCATTGCTACTGCCAGCTTTAATCCTGCGATCAGTGCTTCATACTCTGCTTCATTGTTTGAGGCCTTGAACCCCAAACGAATGGATTGTTCCAGTATCTGCCCATCTGGGGATATTAGCACTACTCCTGCCCGCGCTCATTTGTCGGTTTGAACTCCCATCAACAAACAGTCAGAATGAGTCTCCGATGTAAATACTTCAGAGTTTGAGTTTCTCTTCTTTCCTTTGTTCAGCTATCCCCAGCTGGGTTTCTCCTTGCTCATCTGGGCATTGCACGCCTTGGCTCAGTGGAGCCCAATGTGTGATAGTACCTGGTGTGAACTTGTCCACGAAGTCGGCCAAAACTTGGCCTTTGATTGCTGTTCTGGGTCTGAACTCCAAGTCATATTGGCCCAAGGCCACTGCCCACCTAGTTATTCTGCCTGTCAGATCTCCTTGCTGCAACAGGGACTTTAAAAGATGCTCAGTTAACACCACAAATTTGTGGGCTTGAAAGTAATGATTCAGTTTCTTGGAAGCCATTAATAAAGCCAGTGTTAACTTTTCCAAGGGCAGGTATCTGGTCTCTGCATCTGCTAGGATTTTACTTACGTAGTAAATTGCCTTTTGCTCTCCATTTTCTTCTCTAATCACTACTGCATTTACTGCATGTTTTGAAACTGCCAAGTATAATAACGACTCCTCTCCAAGTACTAGATTTGAGAGGACTGGAGCTGTGGTCAAATACTTTTTTAAGTCAGCCAAGGCGACTTCGCACTCTTCTATCCATAAGAAGTCTGTGGCTTTCTTCACTAAGCTGAAGAAACGTTTACACTTGTCAGAGCTTCTACTTATGAATCTATTCAGGGCTGTAGCCCTTCCAGTCAACATCTGCACTTGCTTTGCCGATGTTGGGCTCTTCAATTCCAAGATGGCCATGATCTGATCCGGGCTGGCCTTAATGCCCATGTTGGTAACTAAATACCCCAAGAACTTACCAGACCCAACTCCAAATGCACACTTCGATGTATTGAGTCGGAGCCGATATGTTCTAAGGATGTCGAAAATTGCCTTCAAGTCTTCCAGATGATCCTCAGGTTCCTTGGTCTTCACAATCATGTCATCTATATATACTTCCACCGTTCTGCCGATTAGATGTCTGAACATCTTGGTTAGCAGTCTCTAGTAAGTTGCTCTTGCATTTTTTAACCCAAAAGGCATTACCCTATAGCAATACAGCCCTTTTGGGGTGATAAATGCAGCCTTCTCTTCATCTGGGGGGTGTATGGCTATCTAATGGTACCCCCTGTATGCATCTAAGAAACTCATCATTCCATGCCCTGAAGTGGCATCCACCGATTGGTTAATCTTGGATAGTAGAAAACTATCTTTGGGACAGGCCTTGTTTAGGCTGGTGAAGTCCACACAGACCCTTCACGTCCCATTCTTTTTCTTTACAACCTCCGTTTTTGATAACCACGTCAGGTAATTTACCTTTCGAATGGCCCTGGCCTCTAGAAGTTTATCCATTTCCTCTTCTACTACCTCAACATGCATCAACGTCGGCCTTCTTGCTCACTGGATTACAGGTTTAGCCGACATGTCTACATTTAGTCTATGGCAAGTGACCTCGAGGTCAATGCCTGGCATCTCGTACGACGTCCAGGCAAACACCTCAATGTTTGCTCTCAAGAACACCTCTAGCTCTTTTTCTTCTTCCTTGACCAAGCCCGAGCCGAGAAGAAAGAAACGCTCTTCATCCCCTTGCTGGACTAAGATCTTTTTCAGGGCTTCCTCACTCTTCTCGGCTGGCTTTTTGCTGACATCTTCCAGGACTTCCATGTCCTCATCTTCAATCTCTGCAGCCTCTGCTTCTTGTATGTTGCAGGTGGATTTCATTGCAGCCATGGAGCAATTTTTTACTTGCACTTGATCCCCTCTGACCTCCTCAATTCCATGCTCTGTTGGGAAAC